GATATGTAGTAGTCTATATAACAAGCTTCCATTTTATTTCTTTTTAGGAGTCAGTTTTGCTTGTCCCTCACCAAGTAACTTCCTGATAACGTCACACATAACACTGTGTTTTGAATCGTTGAGGAGTAGCATTTGTTGACATTTCCCATATTTATTTGCCTGTAAGTTCATACAAAATTCCTTTATTTGTTTTACTTTATGTAGTAAAACGTCATGTCAAAATTGAAAGCTTCGCAAGGTCATGACCTTCAATTTAATTCATTGCAAATCAGAATATATATCATCTGTATAGATATACATGAGACATAGACCTATTGTGTATCTAGTTAGGCTGACATAATCCTGACTTTTGAGGCAATCTTTTGATTAAACACAGTGTCTATTTCACATTAGATACCCCCTTGTTCATACAGAAAATAGCAATATTTGTAAACTTTGTCTGACAGCTTTTCAAAAAAAAAATATAATGTAACATTTTTTTGTTATTCAGATAGTGAATATTCCATACTTTGTCTATTTTAAACTGAAGAAAAGGAGAATAATTGTGTGAGCTGATTCAGTTAGGTTTGAATTTTTTCTTCGAGTCCTTTTTCATGAATCAAGCAATGTGGTAGACTTGTTATACTAAATTTACAATTTCTTGCCTATTTTTGGACTAAAATTAACAAATTAAGCTCCATTTTTTCTTTGGAATTTTGCTCCTTTGCACCTAAATTCAAAATGTGAACTGCAAAACATTTTTATTTCCTTTAACGAGTAGCATTTGTTGACATTTCCCACATTTATTTGCCTGTATGTTCATATAAAATTGCTTTATTTGTTTAGATTTATGTAGTATACCATACAATATAATCTGAGGTTGACACTGTGTAAGACATTATACCTATTAGATACATGCTCCATAGAATTTATACATGTGATAAGGATTCTGAGGACTAGAGTTGTTATTTTACATCATGACGCAACTGCATTGTGACATCAAAGTGTGACGTCATGTCAAAAATGGAGGCTTTGCAAGGTCATGACCTTAAATTCAATCAAGATTATTTGATTTTATATCAAATAGTAAATAATTAATTTATGACAGGGTTTTAAATGTTTGGTTAGTTAGGACGAAGTGTACTCAAGTTAATACATCAGGAATATTCAAAGATGTATTACGAGTCAAACTACGTACGAATTAATTATAAAGGTGCACCGGAAGTTATCCCCCTTTTCAAACCAGCAAATTGTTGAAATCAGACAAGTCATAACATTCTTTGGAATAGAATTCGACACGGTCAATAGGACTATGAAACTCCCCTCAGAAAAATCAAACCAGATTAATGGCGAATTAGAACACTTTTTGAATGCAAAGAAAGTCTCCCTGAGAGAAATGCAGTCACTTATTGGCTTATTAAACTTTGCGTGCAAGGTCATTGCCCCTGGCCGGGCGTTCTGTCGCCACCTTATAAATTCAACAATAGGTATTACTAAAGAGCATCACAGAATAAGGGTAACAAAGAACATAAAAGCTGACCTCACAGTATGGAAAATTTTTTGCAATCTTACAATGGTATATCGGTTATATTTACCCAGCCCTGGATTCACAATGACACAATTCAACTTTTTACAGATAGCTCAGGGGGAACTAATGGAGCGTTTGGTATTTACTTTAGGGAGAAATGGGGTTATGGGGTCTGACCATTACTGTATTACTAGGGACATGACTTTCCTGGAATTTTTCCTCGTCATGGTCGTTATTATGTAATGGCAGAGCCACTTTGCCAATTCCAGACTTGTCTTCCACATTGACAAAATGTCAGTTGTCCACATCATTAACAACTCAACGTCTAAATCTGATAGGGTCATGAATCTTGTCCGCAAGCTTGTGTTAATATGCCTAAAGTCAAATATCTGTATTAAGGCCTTATATATCCCCACAAAACAAAACTGCCTTGCAGACTCCTTATCTCGATTTCAGTGGGACAGATTCAGGCGACTGGCACCGCAGGCAGACCTAGGGCCCACCCCACTACCAAGTCACATCTGGGAAATATAATGCTTGAAGCCGATCGATTACTACAATGTTCAATAGCACCATCAACACATCGAGCATATTCAACAGCTCTTAACAAATTTCAAAACTTCCTTTCAGAATTTAATTACCAAATTATTTGGCCAGCACCAGTGCAACAGCTCATGAATTTTGTTGGTTTCCTCTCACTTAATAATATGCCATACAGAACAGTTTCACTGTACCTAAATGCAATCTCATACATACACAAAATACATAGCTTTCAGGACACAACAAAATGTTTCATAGTTTCAAAAACCCTGGAAGGACTGCGTAGATCAGTAGGTAGAAACAAAGACCAAAGAATCCCTATTTCATTTGAGATTTTTCACAAAATTATCCATTCCCAGCCCAATGTTTGCTATTCCGGATATAAATCCGCTCTCTTTTCAGCAGCATATTTATTACATTTTATGGTTTGTTAAGAGTGAGTGAAACACTGGCACTCAGTTTCTCAGACATTACAATAAAGAATCAAAACCTTTGCCAAATTACTATTCAAAGGTCTAAAACGGACCAAATCGGACAATCTGTTATAATAGATATTGCCTTTCATACAGAATCCATAATCAGCCCAATCACAATCTTAAATAATTTTATGCTTTTAAGGGAGGGGTTGCAAAGAAATGACAAGCTTCTTACACATCTTAATTCTAAGCCCCTTACAAAGTGCCAGTTTCAAGCCATTTTACAAAAAGCATTACAATTCATTGGGGTCACAGGGCACTTTAGGTCACATAGTTTCAGGATTGGCACGGCAACCGAGCTTTCCAAACAAGGTCTCTCTGATACTGAAATAAAAGAAAAGGAAAATATCGGTCAACTTCATATTTAACTTATATTAGGAGACAGTAAAGCTGTAATCTGTGATTGTAGCACCTACTAACTCTTCCAAAGATTTTTCAGGTACCCCAACCACTTGGATACTCGGATCATCAATTCCATTCTGGGCAGGCTATCATGCTGCAACCTATCGATCAGGGGGAAGTAACCTTAATTTACCTGCCACAATTTCTTGGTTAGGGCGTAGGGGTATGATTTGGGATCAGTTAGACAAGGCAGTTTCAGATAATTAACTTCAGTATCCTACACCCAAATTTCTATTGATACACCTTGGGTCTAATGATTTAACTACACCAGATTTAACAAGCATCAAACTTATTCATCAAATACAGTGCAGCCTATATCACTATAACGCACTTCTCCCAAGTACCACTTTAATTTTTTCTTCAATATTACCTAGACTGTACTAGCCTGGTGCCCCTCCCAAAGCAGGTGCAAAAATTAACAAGAAAATGCTCAAAGTTAACAAGTCTATCAAAAAGTTTATAACTACTGAAGTAAATGGCTGTTACATAAACAATGACTCAACCATTAAAATTTCGGAAATACAATTGTTCAGGCATGATGGTACCCACTTGTCAAAAAAAAGGTCTCGAGGTTTACCTTAATAAACTGCAGGGGAAGCCCGGTTAATTCTAAATAGGGAAAATCATATTTGGAAATTTATCCTTTAACCCCCTTTTTCATCAATTGCGGGATGGGGAGGAGGACTGGGGGATACTTTTGTATATATTGGGATCAAGTGGCCCCATAACCTGGTTGTCTCCCCACCCTGCCTCAAAGCATGGGGGCGTTTTGGTATGTAATACATAAGTACATGTAGCACATAAGTTGTCTAAAGTAACATTATATGGTAACATCCGTGGTCCATGGCCTGTCATGGCTGGTTCCACCTCCACCTCGCAAAAGCGGGGGGAGGCCGCAGTCTGATAAAGTAAGTGGGTACACCAGGTGGCGCTGGAGACAGGGAGAAGGGCAGTCCCACATTCACTGGTCCAGAACGTGGTGACCGTTCGGATTGGGCACTTGTGTTTACACTCGGCCCCTATGTGCCCATGGTTATTTTGGTACATTTGTAGGTATCCCCCGTCCCCCACAAAAAGTTGCGGCCTTTTTATCTCCAATTATGTTGATTGTAACAAATGTGTGTTTTGTGCTCAAAGTGTCAATAATAAAGTGATAGAACTTCATACAAGTTTATCATTACATGTGTTTACATGATAGGATGGGTCTGATCTGAGTTGTCTGTATGTCTTCTATCTTAGAAGGGGATGGACTCGATGCAAAGCGCTTGCGCTGCAAGTGCATTGTATGTTGGTAGTACACTAAGCGGAAAGTTGTGTAAAGGGATCATGCTCCCTGTATCTATAATTAATTTATCGCAAATGAGAATATATATTATCTTTATAGATATACATGTGACTTAGACCTATTGAGTATCTAGTTAGGCTGACACTGTCCAGACTTTTGAGGCAATCTTTTGATTAAACACAGTGACTATGTCACATTAGACCCCCCCCCCCTTGTTCATACAGAAACTAGCAATATGTGTAAAGTTTGTCTGACAGGTTTTCAATAAAATTATAATGTAACATTTTATTGTTATTCAAATACTGCATATTCCATACTTTGTGTATTTTAAATTGAAGAAAAGTATAATGGTCATGTGAGCTGATTCAGTTAAGTTTGAATTTCTCTTCGAAGTCGTGTTTCATGCGTCAACCAATGTGGTAGACATGTAATACTAAATTTACAATTTCTTGCCTATTTTTGGACCAAATTTAACGGTTTTTTAGATTTGTGTTCTCTTTGCACCTAAATTCAAAAAAGTCAGTGTGACTTACATGTTTGACAGATTTAGTTGAGTAAGTGTGACTTACGTGTTTGACAGGTTGTATTAGGACAGTATCACTTACGTGTTTGACAGGTTGTATTGAGTCAGTGTGACTTACGTGTTTGACAGGTTGTATTGGGACAGTATCACTTACGTCTTTGACAGGTTACCGGTAATTGAGTCAGTGTCACTTGCGCGTTTGAAAGGTTGTATTGAGTCAGTATCACTTACGTGTTTGACAGGTTGTATTTAGTCAGTGTCACTTACGTGTTTGACAGGTTGAATTGAGCCAGCCTGGATGACATCCCGATGGACAAATTCCCATAGGAGTGCATGGACTCTCATTCTTACAATGGCATTCAAACTCGCATAGCTCACCAAACCTTCCAGAATCACATCCTACAATAATACCAGCATATGTCGATATAGGAAGTTATATCTCCATGATGTTCCTCAAATCAAGTTTTAACAATGTCACAATAATAAACATATAACCTTAATAAAACTTGAATCTTTTTTGTAATACCTATCCCATGATTAAGATACTTTTTTAGAATATAGTAGTATTATTCATGCTATTAAGCCTTGGATGAAAAATTCTGGCCTTGACATACCTACTAAAAAGCTGGAAAACCCATTAGTTATGAGAAATATCTACAAGATGATGAAATGTCACAAATCCAAATGTTTTTAATGAAATTCTTTACCATAACTCCTATGTGTCCACAGGTAAAACAAAGTGGAGTGAGCTTTTACAGATTGACAATAAAGAATGGAAAAAATTCACAAAATTCCCTACAGAGTGACAAAAGACTGTAAACTCCAATGGTTTCAATATAGAATTTTAAAAGGAATTAAAGCAACAAATTCATTTTTATTATAACAAAAATGAGACTCTAAATACTGCAATTTTTGCCACTCAGAAGAAGAAACACTAGAGCACCTTTTATGGGAATGTGATTATACACAATATTTTTAGAAGAATTTGTACATTTTCTTGTAGATTAGACTGGTATAGTCATCAATATTACGAAAAGATCTTTTATTTTAGGTTACTTTGAAAATTATACTGATATTTAAATTACTGTTATCCTTTGGCTGAAATATTATGTTTAAACATCAAGATGTACCAAGAAATCTTTGCATTTATGTCCTGCAATATCACAAATGAAGTTTTATTATGATATACACAAATTTATATCTTTATATCTTATAGAAACAGGGGAAAAGAAAAATTTGATGCCCAGTGGAACAGATGGAACCAATTTTTCTATTAAACTATCTCTTTCACTCCTCTCTATCTCTCTCTCTCTCTCTCTCTTTTTCTCGCTTTCCTTTATTCCTCTCCCAAACTCTTTCTATTAAAAAAAACGTCATGAATCATTTTAATGTGTGATTATGTGAAAAGAAATTTGAATTAAAGAAAAAAAATAAATACATAGAATTTAGCTGACTTCTTGTTGATCGGTATCTGTTCTCGAATCCCATAACTAACTTTGTAAAAAATCAAGTAAATCCCTGATATTATAATAAATATTTTTCTCAGATGTTCTGTAATTTCCTTTCTGATTTTGCTTTAAATATTTCATGGCTAGCACAATTAATAATAACGAATCAAAGAAATATCAAGCGAACCAATACATGAAACTAACCTCTTACTGGAATATCACATGATCCATAGAAGTCAGTTTTCTCCATAAAGTTGATGAAGCACCAGGGTCCTCTGCCTTCAAGTCCTCTCAATTTGGGATTTTTTGGATTTCTACAAACAGCACCAGGGATTGCCTCATCAGGAAAATCCGAGGATTTTACGCCATACATAGCGATAAGCAGGGTGTTGTTCCACGTAACACATTTTTCTCCGTCTGCAGTTCTGTCTGTGCTCCCTTGATATCCATAAGCATCCACCGAGTATCGGAACACAGATACTGACCAAAAAAATATATAATGAATACAACAACAAATGAAACATTACAATACCCTTTGACCGGAATCTATATGTGATAAAATGTTGTATGCAATGCCATAGTCACGAAGTTTAACCTGTTACTAAAGGCAAGGAGAAAGAACATTTGGATAATATTTATCAGGATGAATATGCAGAAATATTTACAACAACTCCTATGGTTCAATAATGGCATATAGTAAACATAGGGACATAGATGAGCTGGTTCTTAGATTAAAAAGATTAAAATGATTAAAAACTCAAATTAAATAAAATGCATTGAAATTCAAATGATGTGTTCACAAGTTGGGCCCCTCATCGGCTCATGACGCGGGCCTTTCCATGTACATGTATTACGAACCTTCAACAGACAGGTTTGTATTTTGTTATAAGTCCTTTTCAAACATTTACTTACTCACATGGAGACTCCAAGATACTTCGAAATACTCTTAATCAGTTATCGTAGATTTTATTACCAAATCGTTTCAAGAGCGAAGAATTCTAATTAGCTAAAGGCATAAGATTGAGACGTCCCCGTTGTTTAATGTGGAACTAATTCTCTGAAATCACATCTGAGCACCATTTTGTTTTCTAACAAACACTTCTAATCACAGTAAAACAACAGTTGGTGCCGTGTTAACGTCTACATTTGAAACCCTTCACGACAATGTCTCAAATGATAGAAAAATCCAGGAAGGGGGGTAAAAAAGGCAATAAATTGTTAAAAACACAAAAATTGTCAGGAACGTTTAAAAATGTCCGACGGCTAACGTCAAAAATATTGTATACCTTGTATTCTTTAATATAAAAAACAGTCAAAAACTAAAGTTAAACTATGACAGAGACAGACAGCGAAATATTCCATCGGTACTGTAAATCAAGAATCTCAGGTTCTTACAAATTTGATGCAACTGACGATTTCTTACATGTACCATACATGAACATGATCGTGGTGCTTTATGATGACAGACAATTGCTTATATTATCAATCTTTCACTCTATTCTCAGCAAAGTTGTTCTTGTATGTGTGTGAAGGAGAATGTGTGAAAGTGTGTAAGGGTAAGTGTGGTTGTGCTTACCAGTTTAGTGTCTTCTCAGTTTATTTTATTTGTAACATGACCTTGTAAAGAGGGAGTATTTATAGGCAATTTGCATGTTGACCAATGTGCATTTTTAGTTTGAATAAAATTTTGTTAAATTATATAAAATTTTCGCTCATAACCCGTAACTACATATCTTGATATGCAAAATGTTTGACATTGCACGTTTCATCTTCCAGGTGTAGTGTACTTTGTGAAGAAAATACATTTTTTTTTACATTTTATACTAAATTTCAAAATTTGATTTGTAATATTCTGAGATATTTCCTAAATTCGATTCTTTTCAAATTAACCACCATTTTCTAAACAAATGAGGGTGTTTGCATGGCAACAATGCCTTTTCACATGAAAAAACCGTTATGCAGAAATTCGTGTTTTCCTTTACGAAAACAATACAATAGTTTACTATATCTAAATATAATTAACTATTGTATCAAATTTTTACAAATTAGTTTTTCTATAGTCAATGAATTTTTTTTTTATTTTATATATAAAAGACAAAATAATAAAGTTAATTTATTAGGGGCGTTTAAAAAATTCGGATACTAGTTACTATTAAATAAAAAAAAAACATTGATTACATGTTACAGGTCTATTATTTTATTCATATGAAGCGCAATTTATTATACATATGTCTTATACCTGAGAAGAAGAAAACATTTGCTATTACCTTCAACTCGACATTTGAAAAAAATGGACGACGTATTATCAATAAACACTAGTTTCATCAATTCATACGTCGACTTGATATAAATCCTGATGAGTTTGAAGTGAATGATACCACAGAATCTGACACATCGGTATAATATTTGAATCTCTTTTTTCTTTTTAAGTTCTACTTACATAGCTGACAACCAGGACCATAGCGGTTCTCTTTACAGCCTGAGGGACAGGTCCCGTTGATTGGGTCACAACTGCCCTCTCTACAATGACAGGCAAACTTGCAATGCCATCCAAAGGTACTAGGTTCACAGACACGGACTACAAACAAAATTGAATATTAATTATATTATTTTTTTATTTAATATTTTTAAAGTTCATCTGCAGCTTCTCCTCCTTTTAACAGTTTTAAGTAGGGTTGTTGAAAATGGTTTCCTATATCGGATAAGGAATATCGATGTTTTACAATATGTTTTACAATATACAGATACAAATGATGAAAACAAGAATAGGAAATTTGGTTGTCTAGGTCACTAAGAGATTTTTTTATCCAAAAATGTGGGAAAACTGTCAAATTCGCTTGTTCAATATAATGAGATCACTGCCTTAATAAAGGGGGAAAACTGAAAACCTGGAAAAATCAGGAAGGAGAAATATGTCTTGCTGAGTCAGTCTGAACTAAGACAGTTGACTCAATTTTGGCTCAGAGTACAGTTACCGTGTGCAAAATATCAACAATATTTTGTAATTGAGAAGGTATTCAAAATCGGGAGGGAGATTATATTTCGTACAATATTTATAGCGAACAATTGTAAATATTGTTAATAACTAAATATTGAGGACGATTGGATTTTATAGCTAGACTTGTCACGTGATGTGGCAGTCACGTGATTTTAGCACATTTACTTGCAATATAGAGGTTACTTAAAAATTTGACAAGTGCATGGGCATAACCAAGTTAAAATTCCAATATAAGTTTATATTTTCAAAACGCAATATAAATTCTGAAAAGTGCTGCGATCCTATCTAGATTCTGCAAATCCATTGCTAAAACTATATTTGAATGACAAAATGCTGTATTTTTTGCTAGTCAACGGCATGAAATATTGATATAACTAAATTATTTTCAAGATTTCATTGGGAAGGCAGCACTTTTCAGATACCTTAATACTTCAAGAATTTAATTGTAAAAGCTTACCATGAACTATTGAGTGTATGCCCTTGCACTAGATCGATTTATTAAGACCCCTACATTACCCTGCGATGTACTTGCATAAAAATATACGGAATTATCAATTAAATACGTCATAAATAAAAAAATGCATTGATAAAATGGTGAAGAAGACACTGAATCCAAGTTAATGGCCCGATAGAACATCTGTAAATAATATCATATGTAATTACAGAAAAGATTTTTCGTTGAGAAAATATTACTTGATCTACCTCTCAATGCATACAAACTACGTCACGTTTTACGAAATGACGTCACATTGACAAGTGTATGCGATCAGTGATTTGTTATGTAGGACTAAACTAATGACAAAACGGCATGCTATAGTAAGTTTTGATGTAGTTTGATAGTTTCCTGCAGGTTAAATAAGCAAAACACTTTTTGAATGGTATATTAAAGAACAGTTGTATGACGTATATTTTGTATGATGTCATAGTTAAGTTTTCCAGTACAAATTAGGCTCTGCCCCCTTCTTTCAACCTTAACTATGCTGCGCATCTGCAGACTTTTCACTTTAAAGCTGATACTTTTTTTTCTTAAGGAAAATTATGATCCGATTTTCGCAGCTTTCTCACTGAGAGGCATAAAACCATAAACAATTTGTCCTTAAATCATAGATGATTAGCAAATATATCGCTAAAAACACAAATTTTAAGCAAAAATTCCTCATGGCATCAATTTTAATTAGGGGTAATAATTAATTTTGTTTTCATAACAGCAAAGAAGGATCATTATAATCTATAATACATGGATAAATTGATCTTTTAATACCATGTATATAATAACAATTGATCTTTTAATACCTTGTCTATAGTGATCGGTCTGTTTCCTTTAGTTTACTATATCTTTACCAAAAATACACAGTAAAATGTATTGTATAAAATGCAGAATAAGGAGACATATTGTAGGTGCATATCGACTTGCTAAAGTACTGGCATGCATTTTATTTTATTAAGTGATAGCCAACGGTTGACATAGCCACTACGTTTTTGGCTTGTATTCTAACTCAGTTATTTATACATTATGCATGTATCATTTTCTGCATTATAATCCTTTCAAGTTTCATTTTGCTTTATATATATCGAATAAAGCGATGCTGGCAACTGAAGTGATATATGCACTGAATGAGAAAAACCCCATAACAGTGCGATTGGTCAATGCAATTTAGTTCATGTACGATATGAATGGTTTAGGAGCCTTCTATTTCTTGCACATACTAGACTACTCATTATAGTGTAAACATATACAGGAATAGTGATCGACTTCTGTTAAATTTACATTAAAAATGAAATAAAAGAAAATTTACAGTTTTTCATTTTATTTAATCAAATTTAGCTAAAGCAAACACAATCCCTTTTTCTTCCTCTGTCCTTAACTTCCGAGTATTTTTGAAGATAAATATCTTTAAGCTACAGTGTAAATTAGTGTGAACATTTGTAGCTTTTACGCATTCTATGACACGACTGTTCTAAAGCTGATAAAGTTTATTCAAGAGATAAAAAGGAAGTAACTACTAAGCCTTCAGATTTACTGGAGTTTAAACAAGTAGATAGCTCTTTATTTCCAAACTCAGCAGTAATTAGTTCCTTGTTTACATGATTCTTTTCATTAAATTGAAGCATGAAATGTATATGAAATCACTGTAATTTTTGTAAAAAAAAATGCATTGATAAAATGGTAAAGAAGACACTGAATCCAAGTTAATGGCCCGATAGAACATCTGTAAATAATATTATATGTAATTATAGAAAAGATTTTTCGTTGAGAAAATATTACTTGATCTACCTCTCAATGCATACAAACTACGTCACCTTTTACGAAATGACGTCACATGGACAAGTGTATGCGATCAGTGATTTGTTATGTAGGACTAAACTAATGACAAAACGGCATGCTATAGTAAGTTTTGATGTAGTTTGATAGTTTCCTACCGGTTAAATTAGCAAAACACTTTTTGATTGGTATATTAAAGAACAGTTGTATGACGTATATTTTGTATGATGTCATAGTTAAGTTTTCCTGTACGAATTAGGCTCTGCCCCCTTTTTTCAATCTTATCTGTGCTGCGCATTTAAAGACTTTTCACTTTAAAGCTGATACTTTTGTTTTCTTAAGGAAAATTATGATCCGATTTTCGCAGCTTTCTCACTGGGAGGCATAAAAACAATAAACAATTTGTCCTTAAATCATAGATGATTAGCAAATAAATCGCTAAAAACACAAATTTTAAGCAAAAAATCCCTCTTGGCGTCAATCTTAATTAGGGGTATAAATAAATTATGTTTTCATGACAGCAAAGAAGGATCATTATAATCTATTATACATGGCTAAATTGATCTTTTAATATCATGTATATAATAACAATTGATCTTTTAATACCTTGTCTATAATGATCGGTCTGTTTTCATTAGTTTACTATCTCTGGACCAAAAAATACACTGTAAAATGTATTGTATAAAATGCAGAATACGGAGAAATATTGTAGGTGCATATCGACTTGCTAAAGTACTGGCATGCATTTTATTTTATTTAGTGATTGCCAACGGTTGACATAGACACTACGTTTTTGGCTTGTATTCTAACTCAGTTATTTATACATTGTGCATGTATCATTTTCTGCATTATAATCCTTGCAAGTGTCATTTTGCTTTAAATATATCGACTAAAGCGATGCTGGCAACTGAAGTGATATATGCATTGAATGAGAAAAACCCCATAACAGTGCGATTGGTCAATGCAATTTAGTTCATGTACGATATGAATGGTTTAGGAGCCTTCTATTTCTTGCACATACTAGACTTCTCATTATGTGGTACCCATATATAGGAATAGTGATCGACGTCTGTTAAATTTACATTAAAAATGAAATAAAAGAAAATTTACAGTTGAATCATTTTATTTAATCAAATTTAGCTAAAGCAAACACAATCCCTTTTTCTCCCTCTGTCCTTAACTTCCTAGTATTTTTGAAGATAAATATCTTTAAGCTACAGTGTAAATTAGTGTGAACATTTGTAACTTTTACGCATTCTATGACACGACTGTTCTAAAGCTGATAAAGTTTATTCAAGAGATAAAAAGGAAGTAACTACTAAGCCTTTAGATTTACTGGAGTTTAAACAAGTAGATAGCTCTTTAATTACAAACTCAGCAGTAATTAGTTCCTTGTTTACATGATTCTTTTCATTACCTCAAAGCATGAAATGTATAAGAAATCACCCTCAATTTTCATAAATTTTTCCACGTTTCTTAATACCGTTGATTTCCCTGGAATACCCTACAAACTAGATAGTGATTCAATATAGTCGATTTTCTGTGTGAAAGATTTAATACATTTTAATTACACGGGGTCTTACATGTTTATTTCAATAGTATCTGCCACTGACGTCAGAAACAAACACAGCCACACAAGATTGGCATGCATACATAGCAAAATTAACCTTTCGGTAGAATAATTAAGAAATCAACTTCTATAAATTGCAAAGAGTCACATTAAAGAAAAAAAAATGGA